CCCCCTCCTCGCCCGCCCCTCCCAGTTGCATCTGGAGACAGAAAGTAGCAAAGAGTTTGTGCCCGGGCCTTTTCCTATTGCGAGCGCTCCCTCTCCAGTTCCTCTCTCCTCCCTGTTCCCTGGGGGGAGGGGTCTTGAGACCCTTGCCGAGAAGCTCCCAGGGCCTAGCATAATGGATGTAAGATTACGCGAGGCCGAGGCCCGCCTCCTCCGGGGCCAGCGCGGGGCCTTCTCGCCTTTCGCCTAATCGCCCTGTAAAGCCGGTGTCAGGACATAAAAATCCAGTTAAGAAGTGGGACCAGTTGGGGTAGGATGGGAGGGGGCGGGAGTGGAGACGGGTCTTCCTAATTCCGTTCCGGTGGATGTCTTCAGAGGGGCCGGGTGCTTGGGCAACTGATTTGAGGGGGGCAGGAAGCGAGAGGGTGGCTGTGGGGGTGCGTTTTCAATGTCACTGTCACAGGCAGATGAGTTGGGAACCAAACGTGGGAAGCAGGTCTCTGGTGGGCCCTTCCCAGGGCACTGTGCAGAGTTACATGGAAGTCCTTGCACAGATGGGTCAGCAGACAGGCCAGGTTGGGGGGTGGGGGGCGCAGCAGCCAAGAGGGACCCAGCAGCCCTTCCCACCCACTGGTGCCAACTCTCCCGGAACCTGGGTCCTGGTCCTGGGGGTGGAGGAGCTGCGTGTTCTACTGCTTTAAAAAGAACACAGCCCTGCCTGTGCACCTGGGGCCACCCAGGCCAGGTGTTTCTCTAGAAAGTGAGGATAAATTATACCTATTGAGAAGGTGCACTGTCTGCCTGCCCTGATCAAAAGATCTTTGAACTTCAAAGTCACCTTGAAACAATGACCCTTTATCTTCGAGAACTTTCTCTTGCTTAGGATTTAACAATGGGGCCATTGATGAGTACAGTCTGTTGTATTGTCTGAAGGCTCTTGGAGACAGATTGCAGCCGCATTGTCCCTGGAGAGGTTTCAGGGTTTGGTGGGGGGGGACTCTAGTATGTAGCCCCAGCTTCTAGTCAATGCCCTACTCATTAATAGCCCCGTGATGAGAGCAAGAGCCGTTGAGTTGGCCTGGGTTTGATCCTTGAATCAATACCTTGACTTCACTCATTTAGTCATGCAACAAACATCTGCATGGCTGCTGTGCACCAGGCACCACTTTTGTCCCTGGCAGGTACAAAGGTGAAACCCTAGGCACTAGGCCTCCAAGGGCTTAGAATCAAATGTGGGGGAGAGAGGCCCGGCGGACTCCACGTATAATGGCCGTGGCTATGACCTGTAAAAACTGCAAGTCTGGGAGAAGGAGCCCCATGAGGCTTTGGACTTGAGAGAGAACCTTGGGGTTAGGGGATGTCAGAGCTGACAGGTGACCAGGGAGGCTGCCAGGTGTACCATGGGAGAAGGCGGTCCCGGAAAGAGGAGAGCCCATCTACGAAACTTTCACAACCTGTTCTGGGGCATGAGGGACTTAGGGCCGGGAAGAAGTGAGAGGCAGATGCAGAGGGGAAACCAAGGCCCAGCGGGAAGGACGTGGTAAGATGAAGATGAGGTGTTATCCCATCAAAGTGTCATGAGCCCCAAAACTCATCAGGAAAGACTGTAGTTGGGCAGAGACTGAGGCACGGATGGGAGCCCCGGGCTGGGAAAGGCCATAAACGCCAGGGCTGGGCTGTCCCCGGCAGCAGAGGTTGAATCCTGGCTGGAGTGGGAGGTGGAACTGGCACCTCTCGCTCCGGACTTGGCATGGGGCAAGGAGAGAGGCAGATGGAGAGGACACCGGGTCTCTGGCCTGAGTCCCCGGTTGGGTGGGGGACACACTGTACACCTGGAAGGGAAGTCAGGGTAGTGGTGGGCAGGGGTGTTGGAAGCTGTGGATCTAGTCTAGACGGGGTGCAGCTGTGAGAAGCCACCCCTCTGTCCACCCGTCCTGTTTCAGCAGTCCTCCCCAAATCCGGGCTGCTGAGGGACCAGCGTGGCTGGTCTCGGCAATGTGGACATCCCTACCTGAAAATATAACAGCTCCAAGGCCCTAGAGACCCCAGGCTAGAGGGTTGCAAAGAGGGAATCAGTCTCTGTGCAGTCACACACAGGCCACGCAGTCTTAGGAAAAATGCAGGTGACTTACCAACAGCTAAATATTGAGCGATTTCACACGCAGACCCGATTTCTGGTTTCTCTTGACACCTTTATGTCCACATGGCAGTCATCATCACAGCAGAGCTGGGCAGCCTTGTTTGGTGGCTGACAGGGGACCTCCAAGCGATTACGGGTTCTGTGTGGAGCTTTGCTCATTCTGTCACCTGCTGTTGGTTACTGAGCTCCCCATCACCCCTGATCTAGATGACTCGTGCGTGAGGTAGGACACACATTCCTCACACCGTTCTTTGTGAGGTGGGCGTTCCCGTTGACAGATGGGGAAACTGATGCTCAGAGCGTCAAGTCGCACTTGCCCAAGATCACACAGGTACTGGGGACCAGGGCCGGGACGAGGGTGCAGGCATTGTGGTGCAAGCCCACATCCTGGCTGTCTTTTCCAGTAGCTCACTTGTGAGAGTCTTAGGTTGAGCTCATACTTATCTTTCCAACAAACGGTGATGGCACCCTCCCAGGGGTCAGGCTGAGCTAGTCCTGGGTGTGTATTGAGCCAAGATCAGACGCTGTCCCCTCCACAAAAGGGGGTTCAGTCAGATGTTGGCAGGCCTCTGCTGGCCTGAGAGCCAGCTCCTCAGTTGGCTTTGGGTGACCCATGGGCATGTCACCACTGTGTCCCCATCTACCTGGCATGCAATAGGCAGGCTCAACACTGTCCATGTTGGAAGAATTCTGCTGTGTCTGCCTGTGACACCCTGGGGGAAACTTGAAGATACTTGAAGCTTAGTCTTTCAGCTCGAGAGCTGTCCAGGCTCTCGAATGAACAGATGCTTTAAAGCTGTTGCGGGTTGGGCGCAGTGGCTCTGCCTGTAATCCCAGCATTTTGGGAGGCCGAAGCAAGAGGACGGCCTGAACCCAGGGGTTTGAGACCAGCCCAGGCAACTTGGCAAGACCTCGTCTCTACAATAAATCAAAAAATTAGCCGAACGTGGTGACACATGCCTGTAGTTCTAGCTACTGGGAAGACCGAGGTGGAAGGATCACCTGAGCCCAGCAGGTCAAGGCTGCGGTGAGCTGTGATTATGCCCCTGCACTCCAGCCTGGGTGAGAGAGTGAGCTTCCGACTCAAAACAAAAAACAATAAAACTGTCGTGATGTTTCCACATCCTGGGAGAGGAACTTGGGTTCCCTGGGCTCAGGTAGGAGGGGGAGACTGTGATTACTCACTCACCCTGCTCCTATACATCCCAAAAACCGTCAGAGGAGATTCTATCCATCAAAGAATTTGTCCATCACTACCAAACCGTATTTGTGAAGAACTCATGAATTCATTTCCCCTTTTAAATTCATCAACGATTAACTACCCTTCAGAACTTCTGTGGACAAATAAGAACGTTTACCACTGAAGTTGGTAGAATCTAACCCCAAACAAAGAAACAAAATTAACCTGGATGAGCTCATCCCAGGCAAATGGAGTTTTTTAAACATTGCCAAGAGCTTGCGAGCATTGGAGTTCCCCCAGGGATGGCCTCCCTAGCCGGGGACCCTCTGGCCTAGAGGAGGATGATGGCAAGTTCCCCGGCCTAGTTTTCTCCAGACTGGTGTTCAGGGTACCTCAGTGGAGTCGAGTGGGCGATTTCTGGAAGCTGGATCAGCCATGGATCTGGCGACAGTGGTGGCACAGGGATCTTTACCCTAGGGGCAGAGGGTTTAGGGTCTCGCAGCTGCCCGGCTGGTCAGGCTCCTTGGCAGTGTCTGCGACGTCCAGACATGTCCTCTGCTACTCCAGGCTATATCAGGGCTCTCTTCCTGCTGGGACTGAAAAGTTTTTGAGTCCAAGGTGGTGGTATTTTTTTTTAACAGAGAACTCACTTATCTTTTGGTTGATATAGAATGTTCCACTTTTGCCGGGCTCAGTGGCTCAGCCTGTAATCCCGCGCCTTGGGAGGCTGAGGTGAGTGGATTGCCTGAGCTCACGGGTTTGAGATCCCGCCTGGGCAACTTGGTGAGACCTCATCTCTATAATAAATCAAAAAATTAGCCGGGCGTGGTAGCGCACACCTGTAGTTCCAGCTATTTGGAAGGCTGAGGCGGAAGGATTGCCGGAGCTCAGCAGGTCGAGGCTGTGGTGACCGGGAGCGACCAC